GACGTTGTAAAACAAGCCAATTCACTTCGTGAACTCGGCAACCAGGTTAACGTTTTTTTTTTTTCGCCCCTGTTTTTTTTTTGGCGGGAACCATGATGGTGGTCGAGTAGATCATGTTGTGCGGGGTGGAGAAGCCACACTCCGCGCAAGGGGAATGATCGCACCACGTCATGTCAAAATGGCCAAGCATCGAGGCAGTCACACAGTGCTTACAACTGTCTCTGGAAGAGAAAGCACCAGAAAGTATATTAGGTCATACGCAGCTGTCATCCGCATGCAAGGAAGTATGCACAAGATGGCGAAAACCGTTGGCAGGATGCCGCGCGCCCTTCATGCGACTTGCCGAACCACACGGCGCTTCGCGCTTGATGATGTGAGAGCCTGGTCCGGTGAGAACCCGGCGTGCTCCGTCCCGGCTTTGTAGGGATGTGAGGTCAATGGTCTAACGACTACGGCATGCACGACTATGAGTACACCCCCGCCCCCCCCCTCGTGTTGGAGGCAGACCGCAGCGCTTCATCCATAGATATCGGCATTAAACAGGGTAATTCCTGGAGCGCGCGAGGTTCACTGTGTCGAAGAGGAATTCTAGCTAGTTGTGCGGGAGGGAGCCGTGTCTCAATTTTCATATTTATAAGTTCATGCAATAATACCTTGTAGAGGTGGTCTGATGTAACGCCTTCCTCGGACTTTCTGCCTTTCTGCTTGGACGACAGCTGAAAGGAGTGAGAAAGAGGCGGGGCGAACGGGAGGTGGCCGTGCGAAATCGCACGGACGAAGCGTCGTTAGCAAAACACGATTGAGACACATACACACAGCAAACCTCGCACGTGCCGTTGGTCGCAAAATGTATTGTAGAAAATAGTCAATCACGGAAATGCTACAACCCGTTTGAGACAATACCACACTCCAGGCGGGGAAATCATTCTGCTTTGAGGTAGAGATGCACGACACGCACCGGAAGACACGGCATACCGTGGGCCAACTGGACGCAGCCCCGTGGGCACGTTGTCCCACTCAAAGGGCTGCTGCTGCTGCTGCTGCTGCTGCTGCTGCTGTGGTCGTAAAAAAAGGAATCGGCACTGCGCTGGCGTACCTGTGGTGCGAAGGTGCAGCCAGTAGTAGCGGTCTCGTCCCTTTTGGCCCTCAGCTTTTCCTGCGGGCGCGAACGAACGTTCTTGTTGTTTTTCTGTGGGAGGTGATTCGATAAGACAGCGATCCCCCTACTCATTAAATATTTTTCGTCCACCTTTCGCTGGCGATACCGCCAGGCGAGAGTAATTGGGTGTGTGCTTTGTGCTTGTTCACCAGTTTTGAGTTTCTCAACGTGTTAGTTGCTTGCAGTTTACTGTGAAAGGATCCTGAACCTTGAGATCGAGCTGTCAAGGTTAAGTCTTTCCATACACACGGTTCATGTCTCTAAAGGCTGCTGTTATGACAGAGAACATCATGAGGGACGCCGTAAAGCGGGCCACGCTCGTCAGGTCGTGTGCGGGGGGGGGCATCATCAAATACATGCCGCAGACGGCAGCCGTGGGTATCAATAAACGATAATAGAAGTGCTCTTGTCAACTTGAAGCTAGCAGCTAGCACCGCGAAATAGCTACCAATACGCTGAAAGAGGGAAAGCGTCCTATCACCCTCGCGTATATATCGGATACCCCAATAAAAGATAGCTCCTGGACCAGCCAAATACTGCTTTGATAGGAAGAGCATGTCCAAGAACCTGATTCGCGTGTGCACCGGGCTTGGTCTACAGGAAAAATCGCGAACTGCTGTTTGACCTAGAGGAAAATATGTGATTGAGCCCGGCCTTAGATGTAGCTTATCATTTGCCAAAGTGTGAGCTACTGAGCGCAAACATCGAACAAGATGCGCGGGCGTAGAGTTCAGGAGAGGTCGACACGCCTACTGTAGAACCGCTGTGTTTCTCGCGTTGTCCCGGGGACCCGTTCCAAAAATGACCCGATTTTATGGAGACGCACCCAACTATTTTCAGCCCTTTCAAGCCTTCAGCTGTTGATGAAGGATCGTGAGCACGGGAGGTCAACCTCACCCTCGGAAGAGGGTATTTCTCGCTGAAATGCTCACCTACAGTAGTAATAGGTGCACCCTCCCACTCTCCCAGAAACAGCGAGGAACGAAAGAAGGCCGTTAGGAAACAATCGCGGGGTACACCGCTGAAAAGCAAAGAAAAAAATATGCCGGATGTAGGTCGTGCGTCACATGTATGCTATCATACGCTTTGCTTACCTGGGTCTGCCGGTGTTTCTCATACAACTGCTGGGACCTTTCTCTCGTCGAAGGTTTGTTGGCGGATGTCGTCCGGGCCGACTCCATTCCATCGCCATCCAGTCCACCAACTTCCCCTGCCACAGGAGCTGGAGATCCAGCGGGGGGGGCACCCAAAACCTCTCCGCCCTTTTCTCCCTCGCTTGCTGCGGCCGATGCAGTGGCATGCACGTCGCCCCCCGTAGTGTTAACGGAGGCGGCTACCTCCGAAGGCCCTCCGGGCGACGATCTGTTTTTGCGGCGTCCTCGCTTGGCGGGTTTCTTGGCCCGTGGAGCCGTCTGTTGGTCAGAGTATAGAGCCTCAACGTTGCCAACACCAGCTTCGCGCCCAGCGGCACCAAAGCCGGCGGGGTCGCCACCAAAGATCGACTCGTCGTCTCCTGCTCTTGATCTCTCCGCACCTTCCTCGGACTCTCGCCCCGGGGGCGACAGGAGTGTTCTCTCTGTTGAGGTTGACCGGTGGGATTCTCTACCGGCGGCAGCCATCATGTCTAAAATTAGTTCTTTCGCTGAGGTTGCCTCGGCTAAACTATCTAGCGTTCTCGCTCTTCTGGCGTGTAAGTTGTTGGGTTGTCTCTCCTCTCTCAGCCTAGCTGTTCGCTGGGGCAGGGCACGTCGTGGCCTGCCAGGGGGTGTCGTAGAAAAACCTGTTTACAGCAGACAGAGACTGCAGGTATAGGTTTCCTTCTTGAGTGGTGCAAGGGCAGTGTCGATGTGTGACTGAATGCTGCCGTCGATGTGTGAGGTGTGAGGTACCATGTGGCTGGATTGTTCCGTTTCAGCGGAACCTGTTGTCATCTCGTAACGGTTACACGAGGTTACGCCGCATCGGCGAGTGGATCTTTTGCATTTTCGCCCACCTGTATCCGCGCCATTGCGAAAACCGTACACACCCTCAGCCCGGGGGGAGGTTTCATCCTTGGTGCCGGCCACGTCCGCGAAATACGAGCATTGGGGTGAACACGAAGAGTAAAATCAACACCTCAAACAGAGCAACAGCGCGGTCAACAGCGGTTGATAAATATTGTTCCGACTTCGAACATTTCTAAGCACATTATCGAAAGATTGAAGGACACAAGCCAGAACTTCCTCCTGTTGGTCACAGGGCACGCCTGAGTACCAGTGTGGAACGTAGTGTCAGCAATGACTGCCGAGGGTTGGAATCGCCACTCCAAAGAGGGCTGGCGTCGAGGGCAGCTGAAGAGTTTAAAGCTCATGAGCAAAAGTCAGGTGAGCGAAGCGGCGCTGTACGGTGTGTACGGAGTACCGGTATCCTGGTGTTTTCCGATACAAGTGAACGACAGAGTTACAGCAGTATATATCATCCCAGCTGCAGCACCTGTCACCATGGCATGGCGTGCTATTGGTAGAGGAGTGCTTGCACATGGATACTGCAAGAATTATTGGCTAGAATATCTTGCGCCATTCGTCGGCACTACTGCAGTCCGTACAGACTAGTCTAGCTTGCATGTATAGACTCGGGGCTCCGAGCGGGGTATAATCTACTCAAGGAATGGTGCCCATCATGCAAGCAATGACTTGATGTTCTCAGGCTCGAAAGACTTGTGAGATTGCTACCGCCTGTAGGGGGGTGGGATACAATGACAAGATTTTTCTGGCACCCTATCTATGCTTGTGGTCGGGATCAACCTGCTGTCGGCGCGATACGCTGCAGGCAGCGTTACTTCGCGCGTACGCTGTCGATCGGATCCACGAGAGAGACTCGCTGGTAGAGGCAGCCCTGGCTTTTGTCGTCAGCGCTGCGGAAACGCCGAGCATCATCGGAGGCAGTGGATCTACAAGCACAAGTGACGAGAACGGATACGACGCGAAAGCAGTTCAGGAACTGCTGGAGTGGCGAGAACGGCTCGGGGAGGAAACAAAGAATCTCGATCCTGGCGATGCCGTAGACGGTAAGAACTACTACATGGATATACACATACGCACGTGTCGAGCGCTGTCCTTTCGGAATTCATTCCGAGCGATTTTTCACCTGTCTGTGCATGCTTTCACGCGCGTTCCCGTCTGGACACTTGCGAGGGCCTTCATTGATGAAACAACCCCATCGCTGGCTCCAAGAGCTTGCAATCTACGGGGCGCTGTGAATGATAACGTTTTCAGCATGTAGCATTGTGTTCGCTTAATCGCTGCGTGTGTCTATGAAACAGGTCGCCTGAGCGAAGAATTGAAGCACCTTAGAAAGGAGTGCCGTTCGCAGGCTCGGAAGCTTGAACTAATGCAGCAAAGCCTGGAGACGAGAGAAGACAAAGAAAAGGAGCTTAGACGCAAGGTGAGGAAGGCGAAAAGCCTTCGGGCCGCATCTACTACAAGATATCTTCTCTTTACATGGAAAGAAGAACTACAGCCAGGTAGAAGGAGTTGAGAAGTATTGGCAGAGGGACAGAGCTACATGGTCAATGGAACACGTTCTTCAAGGCGTGAAGCCACCGTACGACCAAGGCCCAAGAACATGTATTAACAGCACTAGAATATGTACACGAGTAGAGCAAGCAAATCCAGAAACACTATCAACTCCCGGATGAAGTCCCGCTAACGAGCCACACACGTTGGCCAGCAACCAGGAGCAATATTCACTTGGCCGCACGGCATGCCCAGTGCACACTAGACAACACTGCCCAAACGGATGCAGGTTTGATCTCCTTGATAGCCCCTAAGAGTTGCCAGGAGCAAGCGTCATGCAACCTCACACTACCACCAGCGCAGATGGACACTGGAGCAGCTACCCCTTTCCAACCAGACATTGCATGCGGCGACTCCCCATATACTAATGAGCCGGTACACTGAGCAGTTTTCATCATTCTGGCACACACATCACAAGCTCACTCTCCTTGGCTGCACTAAATTTGCATGCACGCCAAACGATGGTGCATTTTCATAAATTCTCAATACACCTGCGGAGTTCTTGAGTCATAAGGCACAACCAACAAATCCGTTTGCGAAAAGCAGGCATTCCACGGTCTCAGCCCTGGATAACTTATTTCGACCGTTTGCTCGGATGCGGGGTCACCGTCAATTCTGTTCATGAACCAAAACTATAGGACTGCCTTAGTCACAATACCTCTCGATAAACCACCGGCCATAAATTTCGAAAGGTCAGCAACGTCGACGTTCGCCGTTTCACGCTCCTCACCCTCTTTCGTATCCTCGCGTGGGCGACCAACGTCTTTTTCAGCTTCGAAAGTCAGAGTCACAGTACTCTAAGCTGCGCGACCTTCTCCGGGATGTACGTGAAGAGCTCGCGGCGAGAGAAAAGGACGGAGTGGTGCCGAAACAGGACTTTGAACGTGTGTGTCAGAAGTATGACAGAGCAAAGGCGAAGGTGCGGGGGCGCTGTATCGTTATCGTTCCCTACCTAGGTGGCCGTGATGATGATAATATCGACCGGTCCCAGACAATATTCACGTATTGAATCATGACGTGTTGAATGAGGATGACTGAAGTGAGACCTTTCCATTCGGCGGAGGAGTGCTATCTATAGCAAGCTAAACACCTGCCACTGCCCTCGGGTGTCAACCGGTGATGGTGCTGCAGATCCGAGCCCTGAAAGACGTGGCGGAGACGTTTTTGCCGGGGGACGGCCGAGACACGTCCTCCCTGCCAACGCAACGGCCGCATGAAGACTCGTCACGGCCAGAAGCCCAAGCAAGAGGCGCAGGAAGAATTATTGATCCCACCGTAAGTAGTGCGGTTCTACGATGCAGATTATTGCCTCGTCTCGACTTCCACGGACCCCTTGTACCAAGCAAATATTGTATTGATATGACCGCACGGGAAAACGTCCGTTGTCACAGATTGGATCAATACGGCACATGCAGATACGAGGGTAACATGTCGTAATGATCTCCTTTCAAGTGGTAAAGAAGCCGCAGGACGTTCAACTAGCACGTGCAGGACACCACACCATGCGCGATGAAAAGTACAACAACTCCGGCATTAATAACGCGGACACAGGTACTGAATGGTGATGGGTATCGGCCACTGACAACAGCGTGGCGAAAACTGTAGAACAGCACCTGACGTGCCATATCCTTACGGCCACCACGACGTGCCCAACCGGACCCTTCGAAGAGCATCGAACAAGGAAACGACACAGCCCATGCTTCAATGAATATCTTACGTATGTACTCCTGAACTGTAGGTGGCTAAACGTGCATCGGACGCTGAGAGTTTCTTCCAGTGCTTTAGCGAACCCTGGGTGAGGCGGGAATCTTACGGTGTCCTGATCGGTCCCACGGGGCGTGGGACACGAAAAGTGTTGTCTTTGGGATGTACGACGATGCCTGACACTCGTCAGTCGGATGGCTTATAAACATATGCTATCAGTCGACAGTTTTGTCGTTGCCGTAGGCTGGCTCTTGTAAACGGAAGAGGCAAAAATCAAGGACGGTTCCGCATTATTGTCTGTTTCCACCGTGGATCGCAAACAGACAAGGTCCGAAGCGTGCTGAGCGATCTCTCAGCAGATGTGTCCACATTGTGTTTTCAGCGAGGGTGCGAAGACCGGTCGTACTCAAGTACTTCATGAGCAGGCAGCTGTGCGCTGGTTTTCTTCGACGACGATCTAAAGCGTCTTCAGAGTGGAACAACAAGAACGTACGGCACCAGCAGAGTGTCCAAGACCAACATCGACAGAGGGACAATCAGTAGATACCTGACAAGATTCACTTCCTTCTTCTGTTGACATTGCTCCAGGAACTCATTCATGGCGACCGTGCCAGCAATGCTACGGGGGAGGCTCGCAATGATGAGCCAAAGACGGGTTTGGCAAAGGAGGCCGACAGCGGCGGTCCAGTGGAGGGCACGGCGGTCGCGTCGACATTGTGAGATGTTCAAGTAAATGTTTTCGACATTTTGCGTCGTGGACGGGGGTGAACGCGGTGTATGGGCCACGAAGCTTGCGCCGCTGGGGAATGAGTAGACAGTGTGCTGGATTGATTGGGGGGCACGTTGTTAGGTGCAGTCGTTCAAACCAGATCTCACGAAGGAAAATAGGTTCTCCTGTGGGACGATCGGCATGCACATGGTCTCGCTTGAAACGGTAGCCGACAGCACAGCTTCATCCGAATATCACCCACACGAGATACATGCACGGCGCGTGGAATGATCTTGGCGTTTACGGTCGCTCGGCTTCAACAGCAACGCCGCAGGTGGTGGTAAGGAGTCGTCGTCTTCGGCTGGCGATGGTGGAGGCGACGGCCGTGACACCTCGGCGGAAGAGGTAGCGGCAAGAGACGAAAAGGACAACGGGGGAAACGGCGACAAAGCGGAGGAGGCTGCGAGCACGGAGGAGCTGGTGGAAGCGAAGCGGCTCTTGCGGCTGGAGCTGGACGAGGCCAACAGGAAGATGGAGAAAGCGAGACGGGGCAGGAAGGCCGCCGAGAAGGTGCGTGCGTCTCTTGAAGAGGAAGGACGGTGTCATCTCGTAGAGGAACGCGTCATCTCGTTGATGAACGCGTCGCCCGATTCAT